GTGGGGGAACTTGCACAATCGGTGGCTGACTAAATACTTTTTTGCCCCACTGTAATAAGAATCACTTACTCTGAGCATCCAGAGTGAGGATGAGGATTGTGAAGATCAGCAAATAGAGAATGGTCCTGCATGAGTAATGTTTCATAGCAGACACTTAGTAAACCAGCTGCCTACATGTGTAAAGCCTGTATGTGCTCTGTAGAGACAGTGCATGGTATCTGGCTGACTTCATCACTTCCTGTTTCTGATTACAGGCGTCTTTGGATGAATAATAGTGTTAGAGTTTGTGTTTTGGAGGCTGATACACTCAGTATATATCTACCACTTGAAACTTTGGGCATTGATGAGATTAAAACAAAAGTTGTTGTTTTTTTCATTGCTTTATAAGAAACACAGAATGAGAATAATTTGTTATAATATTTTAAACCTAACAGATATGGAGAATATTTAATGTTTTTTTAATCGCAAAAAACAATTAATTTTACATTTTGCATTTCCAAATGAACTACAAAAATTTCAAGAGCTCATTAGTCATTCATGTAATCGGAAAGTGAGTGGATAGCTTGTTGCTGTACGTGATATGTACACATAGAGCAACAAGCCTTCTGTGTTGTCAGGAGCAGAAGTTGTGCTGACTGAAAGAAAAACAGTTTTCAGTCAGTTTGGATTTAATACAGCTACAACAACACACACTTAACGTAAAACCTTTCTTACCTCTGACATTATTCTGTGTAACAGTAATTTCACCATGATCTGTAAAAACAAAACAGAGTCGCTGTCTGAGATCCGAACAACACAAAAAATATCATGAGACTGAAAAAGACCACTGTGCAGTGTGAGTGAAGGTTTCTTAGAGAAGTATAATTAGTGAAAAATCCACACTCACCGTAGACATTGACAGTGATGGCATGACCCATACTCCCTCCACCTTGACACTGATACTGACCAGAGTCACTTCTGAGAATGTTTTGGAAGATCAAATAGAAGATCCCTGCTGAGTCTTTAAAATGTTTCCATGCTGTTATAATGTGACTTTCACCTCTGACATTGACGGGGACAATAGCTTCCTCAACTTTATACCAGGTGACTGTTGGTGGTGAATCATTGCAAAAAATAACTGTGCAATTAATCCAAAGTTGTTGTCCAGCTGATGCATTATAAACTGTGTTGCGACGTACTCTAATTTCTGTAGAACAGTCAGAGTCACCTGCAGAAGAGAAATTATACCAAACACATAAAGAAGAACAATTAGAAATTAAGAAACGTTTGATGTTAATTTTAATTTAATTAAGAACATAAAACAATATATTACACAAGAGACTAATCAAAGGTGTTTAGACAATACATGTATATAAAGACTGTTTAATTGGACAAAACAAATAAATATATAAACAGAAATAAAAATTGTGCACATTCCTATAACCTTCTTAGAAAGATATTAAAAGTATAATGAATACTCACTGTACAAAAGAAAAAAAAAGTATAATTTGCAACAATAAGATCAAAAGAGAAGTAAACATGAGGTATGACAGACATCAAAAATGGAAAAAAAAAATCCAGAATAAAAAGTGTCACTGGGTGACATTTATTTGATGATGTCATGACAGGCTGTGTGGCAGGCAGGCAGCAGGAGTGGTGGACCGAAAATGCAGGACTCTTGGAGACGGGACTTAAATTCAAAACCCAGCTTTTTTTGCTGGAAAAAACTCTCAATCAATTAAACTCACAAAAACAAAATCCAAAACTCTACGGACTGAATTGGAACAGAGAACCTAAACAGGAGCCAATCACACAGCAGCTAGAGGGTAGCAACATTGATGACATGACAAAGAGTAAAGGAAAACACAGGGCTTATATACCCAGGGGAGTAATCAGGGAATGGGAAACAGGAGGGAGACACAGCTGGGAGGAATTAGGGCAAACGAGACAAAGAGAAGTAAAACTGAATTCACTGACATAAGTCATGGACTTTCAATGTAAAACAGGAAACAAGAAACAAGTAACAATGATGCAGACTGAACTAAATCTAGAATAATGATAGTGAACACAGCACAACTAAAGAATCAGAACATAAATCCTAGTACAGAAAAAACACCAAAATATAAGAAAAAGAAAATGTTGGGTCGAAATGACCCAGAACTGTGACAGGAAAAGTAATTTGCATGAACTCCAGCAGTTCAGCAAACTGTGAGTGAACCCATCCTAACACAAAGGGAAACCTAAAGCCATGTGTATTAATTTAATGTCACTGCTCTTAAAAACTGAGCTCACACTCTCACTACAAGATCCACCAGCAGGTGTCCCGGAGCCGTTTATCATATGACAGAAAAACTGGAAGTTTAAACTTCTGTGACAGCACGTATCATTACTGTCCTCTAGAAAACCTTTAAGAAATCATTTGCTTTTCATTTTGTACCAAATAATTTTATGTTGAGAAGAATAAGATAAACCCTGAAGATTCATAGTAGTTTAAAAAAGAGCTGTGAGATTTTTCCTGTGAGAATATCAGTATAGGCAGGTCCACCACTGATGTCCTGTGTTTTTCACAGATGGTTTGGTGGAGGGTCAGTGGTGGAAGGACCGATGACTAAATCTGGGAGTTAAATTCTTGCACCCACTATCAGATTCTACACTGGTGCAGTGGGTCCTGGGTTCCTCCTAGTCAACAACAGTACCCGGCCTTATGTGGCGAGAGTTTGCACATGAGAGGATGAAGGAATTTGCACCACTGACTAGCCTCCACACCAACCTGACATAAATCCAACAGAACACCTGTGTAACATTATGTTTCAGTCCATTTTACACCACCAGGTTGCACCTAAGACTGTCCAGGGACTCAGTGATGGCCTGGTCCACATCTGGGTGCAGATCCCCAGGACACCATTCCTTCCTCAGGAGCATGCCCCGATGGTGTCTGGCATATACATTCAAACATGTGGGGGGTGGGGGTCACACAAACCACTATTTTGAGTTGCTACAGTAACAGTTTGCCAAAATGGACTAGCCTGAAGTCATAATTTTTGTCTGACTTTGAATTCAGCCTTTGTGCACATGGATGTTCACTGCTTGTAGACTTAAATTACACCTTTCTTGGCTGCTACTTCAAAGCGCATTGTGCGCTGTCTGTCCTGCGTGCTGCACAACAATATTGAATATTTAGTATTTACTGCTGTTTACACTTAGCTAGATTAATGCGATGGTGTTGTGTTTAGTATGTTGCTTTGTTTTGTTTTGTTTTGCTTGTTTTCTATTCTTCTTCTCTCAACAGGTGATCCAGGAGATTTTTTCTCCCCCCCTTTCTCACTGTCCCTCTCCCCTTCTGTTTTTCTTTTCCTTCCTCTTTCT